CTATGCAGTCACGTGTGTACATAATTAATAATGTAGTCCGACTCAATCGACTAAATTACTCTCATCCCATGTAAAATCATCGTACGGAAAGGAAAATAATGATATGTGTTATCGGCGCCGAGTTGTAACGAAAGTAAAACAGTTTAATTATTTGATTTCTTCTGTACTGCATCGTGCTTTTTTTAGCCGGACTTGTTCTGCAGTCTGATACTGTGTCACCGTACCAACGCAATAGTGAAGGTTGATTTTGTATTTCCTTCAAACGTAAGGAAACAAATGAATAGATAACGAAAAACATTAAAAGAAAACAGCAACAAAACAGCAAAAGCAACAACGGACATCGAACACAGGATTCTCTTGTGAAGAGATCTGAACAAAGTGGAGTACATGTTAATGTACACATAATAAAGAATGAGTTACAAGGAGTTTCGAAGACTACCCCTATGATAGATTTTAGAGGCTGTTATTACTGGATTTATTTTTAACTGCCTGCTCTTTTTCTGTAACTTAACTGTCTCTGTGACTTATGGTTAAATGGACGCCTTATGAGAAACCAACAAGATCCGTTAGTCTATCAGAATGAATGATAAACATGATCCCAAATGAATTGAAAGCTTCCCTAGAAACGTTCATTAAATGAGAATATGATTGTTTTGTTTTCAAGGTAAAATTTCCTCAGTGGTATCTCATTTCACCATCTAGCACTACCACGGAAGCAAACTTTTCTTTAATTTTCTCCAGAGGAGGAGGGGAGACTGGTGGCTACAAGGTCACACATCATTAGTCACTACTAAATTACCTGTTTGTCATCTTTATTTTTCTACTATATTCCTTTTACATGCACTTTTTTAAAAAGATGGAGAACATGCAAACAAGAATTTAAATGCTGCTTCAAGAAGGCTTCCTTATCATCAGAAAAGTTTAAAGATTACATTGGTACCTTTTACAACTTTATTTAATGGACTCATTGGTATGAATTTTAGCTTTTTCAGCCTCATTTTGAAATATACAAGTTTGTGTGTTAAGCCAGTTGCGAGTAAGATACTGCACATGATTACCGAGAAAACTTGAGACAATGAACGAGGTATAAGTGACTTAAAGTCTATACGTTTAAGTCCTCGACGTTTGCGTACAACTGCTTGTTGTACATTTTCATGTTGATCAGCTGCTGTAAAGCGAAAAATTATATTCAGCTATTCTCACCTCTCGAAATATGTAACATCTGGAGACCTTAATTATATTTTGATGCAAGCTATCAGTTGTCGCGATAACTACTCGCTCGTGTCCATGATAGACGCTACATAGTAATTAAATTTAAATGTATATTTAGCGTAAACAGCTGAGTCTTTATCCCACCATGAACAAATTTCACTCTGTTATGATTATCGGAAGTCTCGCCTTGTGTAGGGTTTCCATTTCCTTAAGCTGCTTTCTTAATTCAGTGAATGTTGGTCATTTTGCAAGCATCTCATCATGATCTGGTACCTGGTACTTATAAGATGGAACATGTTCAACAAACAAACGAGCGTGTGAAAGTGTAGTGTGATCGTCCGTGTGAGTGTAGTCCTGAGAAGGACAACCTGTCTGGACAACCGGTGCGGAAGTGATCGTCAGAGTCAAGTGAATAGTTGTTGTCAGTAGAATGTTCTTATTTCAGTTCGTGTAAAATGATTGGTCAGTGAAAACTTCACATATTTCATTGTATCTTATTTATCACTTTCACGGGTTAATTACGAATCAACTTAACGGCCTGCTCCAAGTTCGCTTGTTAGCTCAATTGGTAGAGCGCTGCACTAGTATCGCAGAGGTCAGTGGTTCGAATCCCGTACAGGCCTGATTTTTTTCAGGTCTGATTTTCGCTATTGCTTAAATAGCGCTATCTACTGCGAGGATGGTGCATCATACGTATCTAATACCGCAGTTCAAAATTTATGAACTTCATATATTTCATTGTATCTTACAAATAACAAAGTCTCCGTCACATAGTGTGGTGATGGGTTTGTGGTTGACGCGGATATTGAAGGGTTGTAAAGTCCGCGAGACGTTCTTAGACATGTCTTTTATGTACGGTGTGGTTGCTGTAGTCGTAGGAATTGCGGTGTCATTTGTGTTGGTAGTGGTAGTGGGTCGGTGAGGGTTTCGTCGGATGAAGTCGTCGCAGTAGTTGTTCTTTGAAAAAACACGGTAAAGGTATTTGTTCTCGTCGGATAAGCTGTCTGTAGGGTCGCATACTAGTTGCGCGCGTCGTGTTCGAGTTCTCATAAATGTGGCTTTGTGTGATGTAGGGAAGTAGGATGTCTCGTCTCAATAATCTGTCGGTGTGTGTCGGTTTCCCGTAAACTGTCCTCCGTAGTGAGTTGTCGTTACGGCTTATCAGACAGTCTAGAAAAGGAAGTTTGCCATTTTCTTCGAATTCTCCGATAAACTGCATCTCAGTGTTTTGTCCATTAAGGTGGTGGTGGAATGCGTCGATTTCGTCGTGTCTTAAGGCGGTGAAAAAAAAAAAACAAACGAGCATTAAAAGAAATATAATTTTTTGTCCTTATGAAGCATTTAACATTGAAATAATTTAGATTCGACTGTAGATAACAAACGTTCAGCGAAATACGTCTTAAAAAGGGACCAACGACAAACCAGATTTGACAACCGCTCGCCCTTTGTTACTTCATTTTTATCAATTATGTCAAGGGAGTCTCCAAGTTGAAAAACGGTAGGAAAGCTTAAAAGTTTTCGTCCACATGCTGTGGCTTGAGCATTTTATCGCCCTGCTGAAGTAGTTTCGCAGCTCTTCTGCCATCCATCCGTGGATATGATGAACCACTTGAAAATGATGTAGTTACTTTTGTTCCTCATCAACAGAAAAGAGAGAAGATTTTAAATGAATCCTGTTTGAATGAGTAAAAGTTTTAAATAACAACAAAGGTTGAGCGAATTGGACTTTCTTCCAAGTTTTACAGTTGAAATGTCTAGAGGGGTTTGCAAGTCGTATGATTAATGTAAGTACGTCGTCTTAGCTTAGCTCATTTTACCCAGTTTAATCCGTTAATATTGTTCTATAATCATACTCTATCATCGATATGCTTCTTTGATTTTCCTGAAGTGTTATATAAATGACGTGAAGTGTTATCATGACAGTGAAAATGCCATAAAGGACAATTCCATACATCATACATGTATCTCCATCTAAAGGGTAGCGAGATGAATATCGACATAAGGATACCTTAGAAACAGGCCGAGTAAATCATCAAGGAAATCTGACAATATTGAGTGTTAGCCCTCGACAAATTAAGTTGGGCAGGCAGTGTATGAGGCAAGTCTTGTATTGGTAGTCTGTAAATTATTTTTTATCTTTATTCAATGGTGTCATTACATATGTGTCAGCAACAACATTGTATTTTAGTACGTTTTGGCTACCACTAAAATGAAGGGTTTTAGAGCTAATTTACATAATTTCTTAACTCTCACTCATAACCTTTAAATTTTGTAGTTTTTGATTGATATACTACTTCACAGTTTTTTCTTTTACCTCCAAAAAAGTCTGATGTTAAGCAGACGTATTTCCTCGAATAACAACCGGGGGCGATTATTTCTTTTTTCGCCCCAAAAGAAGACAATTATTCGAGAGAGAGCGATTATTTGAGGGAGGCGATTAATTTAAATCTTTCTCACAGAAAGTCGTGCCTTAATATATTTTTTTTATTAGACGACAAAATGCGGTCGGTTTGTATAAAGATGGAAAAGACAGCAGTGGCGGCTCTGATGTTCTAGTTGGGCAATTGAACTATCCAGTGGCGGATCCAGGGGGAGGGTCCGGGGGTCCGGACCCCCCCTATCAAACCTGACGCTTACAACTTTGAGACAAGATCGTATATCACTTTTAACTGGCTGATTTTTGTAATGAATCCAAATAAACGGTAAGCGGCCAAGGAACTATAACGCGCATCCGCGACTGGTGGGAGGGGATGTGGGGGAGAAGTAATTTGCCTCAAAGAGTCCAACAGTCCTTTCTGAACCAAAGTTTGGATCCCCCCAGTCAAAAACTTCTGGATCTGCCTCTGCTATCCCATCTCGTTTGCACTTTCCTGAATGCAGAAGGTAGCAACGAAGGCGATGCCGAGGTTATCGGAAAGCAGACTTAAGAAAACGGACTTGTTGTTCCAGCGATTTATTCATTGCGAACAAGGAACAAGAACATATCCGATGTGTTAACGAGAGAGCTCCAAGCAATAAAGGAAAAAGTGAAGTATATGAATCGGTGCTTTTGTAATCATTCAGTGGTCACGGAACAATTAAATAAAAGGTTCTTTGTTACCCAACATGCCGATTTTTAAATTGAGAGGGAGGGGGTAGGAGAAAGAGAAAGTGGCAAGGGGAGGGGAGGGGAGGGGAGGGGGCGATTATTTTAAGTATTTTGGTCAAAGGGAGTGATTAATCGAGGGACGGCTATTATTCGAGGAAATACAGTATTGATATTCGCTGTAGCTGAGAAAATTTCGTGTGCACAACTGTCGCATCGATCACCTGAAAGAACTGCTTGCTCTTGGTTTTCATTTTTGCACTGAATAGTTGGATTGAATATTTCCTGAAACAAAACCCGAAAGTAATTAAAAGATCCAGACTTACAGGCTGAAAATAGGCAATAAGTGCAGTAACACGCACCGGTAACATTACTCAATGGCTATCCGAACCATACACATTTCTTGACCAGTGGTTTCTCTAACAAAATTAAACTGACACCAAATCTAACTACCGAAAATAAATGACTTAAACGAAATAATAAACGAAAGGAAAAATTGAAACACACCTGACGGTTTGGATCTTGAAAGAACACGACACATAGCTAATATAAAGACATACCACACCAACCTGTTCGCGCGAAAAGTTTCATGCATGTTACCTACTGAAATAGATCTGTTGACGCGAGGGGACTGAACCCCACCACTTATAACGGACCGCTGGTCCCCAAAATTTGTTGAGAAGTGTGTGATTCGAGTGCACTACACCACAACATAATGAAACATTTCTTGAATGTTATAGCGTAATTTCTAGAAAATTCGTAACAACATCGAGAAAAGCAACAAATCAAAGAAACCAAGATGCTTGATGATTGGAGACAAAAGTATAGTCTGGAAACAGTGGAAAGGTGCCTTCCATTGGGATCTGTGAATCCCATTTTTTTCTTCCATTACATGAGCAGCTGGATCCTGCTTCAAGAATGAGAAATCACTTGGCAGTAGATGTACTTGACAAAAAAATGCTTATCTTGATGCGGGTTAGCATTACAACAATAGTCAATGGTGAACTGTTCAATGGTAAATTGTTTTGTTTTTTCATAATCCCCATTCCTTAAAATACAGACAAAATACTGGTTAAAATAAATAACACCTGCCTAATTTCAACCACAAAACCAATTCTTCTACTAAAGAAAGATGGTAAATTAAGTGCTGAAATTCATTCCTCACTATTTGTGTTTTTTTTTTTTTTGTTCAGTTAATCTTTGGCAGAGTTATCGAGATCACATCATGGCATCAATGGAAGACCAAGAGCTCAACAATGGAACCCCCTTGGACTGTGCACTTCAACTATTTCAACACACTGTAGAAATTGTGGACTTGTTCAACTCTAAATGTCCACTAACAAACATCAATGACATCAGGCTGAGAACGTTGAACCGTTTTTCTTTTTTCATGTTGGATTGGAGAGAGAACTGAGTACAGATGACAATAGCCCATTATTTTCTGAATTACCCTTGGCCTCATTTTCAAAACGAGTCCTGGTGCTCATCCTTTCATATGATAGTAAGTTTTCATTCACATTGCAAATTAAACTCATTTTCACAAGAATGGTGGAGCACCAGGCCTCATTTTGAAATAGAGGCCAAGGGTAATTTGGAAATGGGCTATTCATCATTAAGCAAACTATGGTTTGATCTACAGTCAATGTGCCTTGTTTTCCAAGTCCTGGTGCAGGTGATACTCCACAAATTCCCACACTCATGTATTAAGCTTGCCATTGTCAATCAGGATTGTGTAGAAAACCACTTTTCATATGTCAAATGAGATCTTGCAATGGTCAGAACAATAATCCAACTCTGAAACAGCTGCCAGGAGCACTGCTCTCTACATATCCTGAGAAATCTTTATCACTAAAGCGCTCTTGTTTACGACACCTTGAAGATTATAAAAGCATCATTCGTTTCAAAGAACAAAATGAATCATTTTTCGTTTCTAACGACAAAATGAAGCGTTCGTTTTGTATGTACTCGTTTGAAACTCACAGACATTTCGTAAGCTTGTGAAACTTTATCCTGGTTCTTAACAATTCCATGAAAACTTTGACTACACAGAATTTGATTTACTTCAAGAAATTTGGAAGGGAGTTTGGTTATTCATTCATTCTCATTTTACAATCTAGTGTAGATGACTTAATGATTTAATACTTGGCAAAGAATTGTGAATGGAAGACTTTGAAGAGTTTGCAAACCCACAAAAGGACAACTAACTGGACAAATAAGTAATAACAATTGTAATTGTAARTAAACAATGGTAATTCAAATTTTAAACTTCTAGCTAGAATATGCCAATATATCTTGTCATAATGATGGTTTATCATAACTACTATAATTCTTCAATTTACCAGACAATGAATTTTGTAGTTTAACTGGTTCCTGCACCCCCAGCCTGTCTGAAAGACTCGTTGATAATATTGATCTCCTGAATATGCTCCTTAATCCGGACAAACATGATGAAAGGGACTCTGACCATAATTATGCTTAATTCTCCATGCTCAGAATACTATGAAACTTCTAAATTAAATAAGTTATTCAATTCATCTTACAGCTCCAGGAACTGTAATATTAGAAGTCTATCGAAAGATCTGCCTATCTTAGAAGATTGGTTATACTGTTTAGAAAAAAAAAAACCTGATATATTAATTAGCCATTTTAGAAACAAAGCTGAACAGCAGATCTATAATTAACATAGACATATGCCAGTACTACTTTTTTCATACTGACTCTGAAACAGCTGCCAGGGATGGTGCTCTTTACATATCCAACAATCTAAAAACCATACCTAGGGCAGATATAAAGTTTACCATGCCTCTAGTTGAGTCCTGCTGGACAGAAATTATTACTAGCAATAACAAACCAAATAATTTAATATTATAGGATGCATATATAGACATCCTTTGGCTGATGTACCAGATTTTACACAAGGACTAATAAACATGATTAAAAGCTTAAGCAACAGGAAAACAACATGTCTTTCTAACAGGAGATGTAAACATAAACTTCCTGAAGTACAACGAGCATGCTTAAACACTGAAGATTATATTAATATATGCTGTATTCTAACAATTTTGTCCCACTCATCACTTAAAGCCCACTAGATTCACAGATCACTCTTCTACCTTAATTGATCATATTTATACTTATGCTCCCATTCAAAATACTATTTCTGGTATAGCTCTGGCTGACATATCTGACCATCTGCCTGTTTTCTGCATCTGTAATGTATTCACCTCTAAAAACAAGCAGATAACATATTATAGAGATTACATATTATAGAGATTACAGATGATAGTTTTTGCAAACAGCAATATTTAACTGAACTTGGCCAAATTAACGTCAGGTTTATATTCCACCTCCACTGATCTTCATGAGATAACTAATGCATGTATAAACAAAGTGAAATATATAAGCATGCCCGTTTAAAAAAAGTAACCAATTCTAAAGTGAAACAATTCAACAAACCTTGGCTAACACAAGGGCTTTTAAAATCAATTAAAAGGAAACAAAAGATGTATAAATTGCATTTTCTCAGCAAGAATTCAAGGAAGATAAAACAGTACAAACAACACTCCAATCTACTTAACAAAATAAAGGCCAAAGCCAAAGATAAATATTATACCAAATATTTTCAGCTGTACAAAGAAAATCTAAAAGAAACATAGAAGCTTATTGGTGCAATCATTAAAAGGAAAACCAAAGTTCAATCAAAAATTATTACCCTTCAAGGATCATAAGAAATAATAAGGTCTACACTAGTGTCAACTTGACATTGCTAACCAAATTAATCAGCACTTCACTACAATTGGCCCTGATCTTGCTGTGTAATTTAAATCCTACTTATGATGAACCCACTAAATATATATGTAATACCCCACAAATAGCTTCTACTTATCAGTAAAAACTGAAGAATATGTGACTCAGCTATTTTCAAATCTAAATGAAAGAAAGGCTTCATTAGATATTCCTAATAAGTTAATAAAACTTGTTAGTTATGAATTGTATAAACCTTTCACATACATTTACAATCAGTCAATCATACAAGGTATTGTACCTAATGTACTAAAAGTCTGAAGAGTAACTCCAATATTCAAATCTGGGAATGCAACAGATCGTGCAAATTATAGACCCATAGCAGTTTTATCACCATTAATTTTTAGTAAAATCAGAGAAAAAATTGTTAATGATCAACTCACCTCATTTCTAGACAAATAAAATATCTTGTTTAAATACCAGTTTGGGTTTAGAAAAGACTATTCCACTGAGTCTGCTATTTTAGAAATAACTGACACTCTTAAAACCTCCATAGATGACAATCTCATAACATGCAAGGTCTTTCTAGATTTCTCCAAAGCCTTTGATACTGTCAACCACGAGATACTGCTAAGGAAATTACATAAATATGGAATACATGGAAAAGCTTCAGATTGGTTCACAAGTTACCTTACTAATAGAACTCAATATGTGAAACTAGGTAATGTTCAGTATCTCCAGATTGTTTGCGGAGTTCCTCAGGGATCAACCCTTGGACCACTATTATTTCTTCTTTACATGAATGATCTTGCCAACTCTTCAGATATGCTTTCCTTTTGACTTTTTGCTGATGATGCTAGAATTTTCTATGCCACTAAAACATCAAAAGATCTTGAGGCAGTTATGAACTCAGAACTGCAGAAAGCAATTAACTACTAGCTGTAACCTCAATAAACTGTCTGACTATTAACATGAAGAAAACAAATTTTATGATCTTAACTTCTCCACAGAAGCCATGGCAACTATACACAATATTAATATTTCAAACATTGATCGCAAAGCTAGTATCAAATATTTAGGCATTTATTATTTAGATGAGCATTTGAACTGGAAAACTCAAATAGCCCATGTAAAAAGCAAACTGACTAAAAACCTTGGAATCTTCTACCAACTACGAAATTGCCTAAATTTAAAGATGCTAAGACAACTGTATTATGCACTTATTTACCTTTATCTTAATTATCGTGCAGTGTGTTGGGGCAACACTTATCCCACTAATTTAAATAAGATCAGTAAATAAATGTATCCAAAGTATCTTTTCTGCAAACAAACAGGACCCTCTTTCCCTTACTACCAAATCCTTGAAATTTGAAAATTTGAAATGTTGTTAGATTCAAAATCTGCTCACTCTCAGTTAAATTATATAACAATCCATCAACTGTTCCAGCAATTTTCCATAATTTTTTAATACCTATCACAGCTGTCCCCTCCTATAACAGCAGAAAATCCGCCAAGCTTAATTTCCACTGACCACAATTTAGAACTAACATAGGCAAATTGACTTTTAAGTACTCTGCTTCTGTTATATGGGAAACTGTACCCTTAGCATTGAAAACAAAAAGAACATTTAACAGGTTTAAGAAACTTTATATGGCCCACCTCATCTCTCATTAATCAAATAATATATGATCTGTTTAGTTATCAAATATATAGGT